TCCCTGCACTTTACACTGCCGCTGGGGAATGGAGACTGGGCTCCCAATTCCCGGCATATCACACTGCCGCTGGGGAATGGAGACTGGGCTCCCAATTCCCTGCATATCACACTGCCGCTGGGGAATGGAGACTGGGCTCCCAATTCCCGGCATATCACACTGCCGCTGGGGAGAGGAGACTGGGCTCTCTCTGTCCCGCAACTGTAGCTGCCGGTGGAGGTCCACCCACCGTGGCAGCTGACCGTCACCCTCTGCCCGGTACAGCAGAGTCTTGAATACTAGACTCCTCACGAACTTCACGGATTTCTCAGCTGGATTAGGCCCGTAGAAGTTCAGCCGCAACCACATCATACGGTCAAATTCCTGTACAGAGTATCTGTACTCCACTGCTGGTTCCATTCTGTTGCTGTCAGGGTCGCTGTACTGAGACATGCGTTGCCCTCAAATTGTAAAATCCACGGAATGGTGTCTCCTGTAGCTGTCCTTCTGGTTGTAGGAACGATCCCGCCGCTTGCCACCAATTGTAACGGACCGTTTTGCACACAAGGGGTAAAAACCGTTTAGGCGTTCGGCCCCCTTTCCAGAGATACAGACACAGCTACTGCTGAACACCAAACTCCCGAACTGGATACAAAATAGCACTCCAACTCCTGAACTGGAACCTCCCAAATAGCTGCTAGCAGACGAACAGGAAAAGCAGACAATCAGCTTACACTCCTGGCAATCAGTCTCTAACAGCATACAGTGAATCCCCCCAAGAACGAGACAAGGCTCCGTGTTGAGGGTCAAGCAGTGGTCTGAGGTGCTGGCACACCCAGCCTGGTTTTTATTACAGTCTTGCAAATACAGGACCGCCCACAGGGAGGTATAAAACAACCAATCACATCACAGTTACATCCCACATATTCCCTCCCCTTATCCTGAGAGGAAACTCAATTACACATACAGTTAAAACATACTTTCTACCCAACTTTCATAACTCTAAAACCATACATCACATTCACATAAAATTACATATTCTCAATCAATCCATTCAGGGGAACAACATATTCAAAAATGGCACAAATCAGACAAGGGGTTCAAAAGTTAGTAAAAAGTCCTTTGTGACTAAATGAAGCATGGCTTTCTGGCCCAAACCAGTTTCAGAGTCTTCTATCCTGGAGATAAGTAATTCAATTATCTCCCAGGACAGACACAAGACTCCATTAAGCACATGGTTGCAAAAAGACACAAAGACAGTAAAACACTTTAAAATACATAAAGTTACATTTTACACATAACACACAGACATTTCACATATCCCCAGATAGCTCAGGTCTGAGCGCACATTATTAAGTGAATGGCGCTCGGACCACACAAATACAGTTTAATCGCCATGGAGCCAAAGTCTTTACAGTCAGTTTCATACGAATGGGCTCCATGGGATTCCTATCTGGGGTATAACACATTCAAACAAATCTACTGAACCCCAGGCAGAAAAGCACGAATACAGCTTTTCTGCAGGCAAAAATAAAGTCTTTTAAAAGGGGGCCATAGTCCAAAGGCAGCAGGCGAGCAACCAGGCTTCTCCAATGCAATGTGGCGAGATTGGTCTTGTCACATCATGCAACCGGCAAAACAGGCGAACAAAGCATTTGTAATCCAGACAGATGGGTCTGTCACAATTTTATTTTAGGCGAATGGAAGCAGACGCATAGGAACAACTGGCAAATACCGAACAAACAGACGAATCAAGGTTAAATAGTAGCAATCAAAAGACAGAGAGGTCTGTCACAATGACCTTCTTGGTTACAATTATAGTATACCATAGGATTACTCTGATTAACTCTATAATAAATATCTTGGGGTGGGGCCGTATAGTTTCTAGTAGCCTGGTAATTTTGTTAATTTTGTATTCTAACCATAGACCGCCCTCTAAATTGACCATTTCCATTATTAACCTCATATCTCCATCTATCCTCTTCACTAGACACATAGTTAACAGGAGCCAGTCCTGCTGAGGTATGCCTAGTTAAAAGTGTGTCTGTGAAAGCAAATTTTTTAGCTGTTTTTGTATTTTTCCTTTGCAATAATTGCAAAGATTTCATAATTTCCGTGGCAGCAAAATCTACTGTCGGTGCATCAAAAGCTCTCTAGTATATCTCATTTGGTAACTCTGATATTCTTGACCGGTGTATAGTCGCCATATGGGCAGTCGGAATCTAGGATGAAACACCCCCCATATACCTACTCCCAATAACACTCTGACACTAAGGAATATCGGTTAAATCGTCCACAGCTTTATTAAACAATCTCAGATAATAACAATTAGAATAATTATAATAAAATAATATAACCATAATAACTTAACATGTAATATGGGTCATTGCCCCCTATGCTCTGCCCTCACATCCATATCCTTCTTTTAATATAAAAGGCAATGACCCCACATAAATAACACAAATATATATATATATATATATATATATATATATATATCACATTTCGACTTTACTCTAACATAAATAACTTAAAGTGCCAAACATAATTAACCATGGCAGGGGTATACCCGGGTACCACTACCCCACCAGGTTCTGAGCCACCTCCAGGATTCGAAACCTACCAACCACCAATGATCACAATGTTTCCTGTTCATCACGTTCTTCCTGGGGAGCCTTTTTCCTCTTCTTAGGCTCCCTATCCTGCCACAAGCTCAGACCTTGACCCCTTAAGCTGTCTGAGCTCTGCCACCCCGAAGAAACAATGCCTTCTGCATCCCCTCTTGCCAACCTAGGTTCAGTAGGTCCCAACCCACGTTGGAGAGATGCACACCATCCGCATGGTAGTAACCCGGCAACCCGCCTTCTAACTCCCCGTGCCGTACCACAACGCCCCTCAATTTCCACACAAAGCTCGCCATCAAGCTATTAACCTTTCCCCTGCACCTGTCAATGGCCACCGGGTCCCTTGCATGTCGCCAACGCCGACGTGGCACCATCTCTGACCACACTATCATAACCCTGGGGAGCAGATCCATCAGTTTATTGAGGTCCTGCTTCATCCATTTTACCAACCTTCGCTGCGGTATGAGGCCCAGATCATTGCCACCCGCATGAAGGACCAGTAGGTCCAGCCTCCCCCCACCCGCTATCATTTCGAATATTGCCCTGCATACGTCTCCCCAACAATTCCCCTATACCCGAACCATCTCACAGTCAACTGGTCCTTTGGAATGCCCAGCTGCTGGCCTCGAGCTCAAGCTGCAGCCCTCCTTGCGGCCAGAAGACAAAGGAATGGCCCACGATCCATGCGACTCGGCCTGGGGAAGAAGGAGACAAAAGTGTCAATACCCGGTCCCCCCACCGTAGTCCCCCCGGCCCGCTTTATAAATCCAATAAGCCCAAACGAACATAGGATCTGAACCGCGCAGATTCCCACCTACCAATCCGTTTTACCGGATCGTCCCCTCCGTGGCCGCCCCGATGCGGAAGGAGTGTGTCCCGAAGCTAGTAGCCCGCAGCCCCAACCTGCCCAGGCCCAAGCGGAAGTCCTTAGTGAACTGAAAACGAGAGTGAGGAGCCGTCCGCGTGCAGCAATAAGGCCCCCCAACTATCGGCCTCAGAGTCAAATAATGCGTCACCGCGGCCACCGGGCACAATGCCGAACCTGGCAGGGCACCCAAAACTACGTCGCGGACCACACCCTTAACGTCCGTTTTCGACCTGGCCAGGTGCACCAACAGCCTCCCTTCCAGTGCGCGAACTCCCGACACCTGGAGACCCCACGGCGCCGCCCGCGTGGAACTCACCAGTTCTCCTATGCGGAAAGCCCAGAAGAAAGCCAAAAGAAATGCCGCCCGAAACAACGCCACTTCGAAACCGTCAAAACAGATGTCGGGCAGCGCCCGTATTAGGTCGCCCAACACCCGTACCGACATGGGGCACCTACTATCCTGTGTCCTACGACCCTTTCTGTACCCCTTAAGTGCTTGCCTAATGACAAAAGCCTTGGTAAGATCCTCTTTCCCGCGCAGCTTGAACCAGAAGGCCATCACCGCCATGGTCCTGTTAACCACCGCCGGGGACGCGCCTCCCGCCAGGAGTTGAAAGGTGAACCAAAGGAAAGCATCCATGGGCGATTCGCCCGACGACCCCAGGTCCGTCCCATCCCAGGAATGTTCCCATGTACTCCAGACCTTACTGTAGGCGGCCCAAGTGGCCGGTGCCAGCGAAGCCTTCACAAGTCTCCCAGTTGCCACATCTCGTCCGGGCACGCCTGGCCCACCTCTTGCACCGTCCGAAATCGGGACCACTGAAAACGAGAGAGAGCGTCAGCCACTTTGTTTAAATACCCTGGCACATGGCGCGCGCGAAATACTATATTAAGAGACATGCACAACAAGATGAAGCGCCGGAGGAGCCTCACCACCGGTTTGGATGCTGCTGACTGGTTGTTGACGGCGTGCACCACTGCCATATTGTCAGAGAAAAAGACCACCTTGCGGACCCGGAGCCCCTCACCCCACAGGGCTAACGCGACCACCAACGGGAACAATTCCTGGAAGGCCAGGTTACGCATAAGGGGGCTGTGCCCCCAGCCCTCCGGCCACCTTTCCGCGCACCACCTCCCTCCGAAGTATGCCCCAAAACCCACGCTACCTGACGCATCGGTGAACAGCTCCAGTTCGGCTGCCGGTACGCCCCCCTGCCGGAAGAATACCGTCCCCTTAAAATCCCGAAGAAAGGTGTCCCATATCTCCAAATCAGCCCGCATGTGCGACGACACTCGTATGAAGTGGTGCGGGGAACGCACCCCCGCCGTAGCCGCCGCCAGGCTGCGGCTGAACACCCTGCCCATTGGTATGACCCTGCAGGCAAAGTTGAGTATCCCAATTAGCGACTGCAACTGACGCAGCGTCACCTTTCGCGCCCGCGCCACCCTGGCCACTACGCCCCTCAGCCCTTCCAACTTAGCCAGCGGAAGCCGACACTCCCCCTGCACCAAATCTATTTCCAATCCCAGGAAGCTAAGACATTCGGTTGGGCCCTCAGTCTTATCCGCCGCCAGCGGCACCCCAAAGTGGCCTGCCACCCATTCCATGGTCCGCAACAAGTGCGAGCATTCGGGGCTGAGTCCGCTGGCCCCACGCAGAGGAAGTCGTCCAGGTAGTGTACGACCGCTTTGCACCCCGCCTCAACCCGGACTACCCATTCGAGAAACAAACTGAATTTCTCAAAGTAGGAGCATGAAATGGAACAACCCATTGGGAGATATAGGTCCACAAAGTATTGCCCCTCAAAGTAACACCCCAGCAAATGGTGACACGCCGGGTGTACCGGGAGCAGCCGAAAAGCAGCCTCGATGTCCACCTTGGCCATCAGCACCCCACGCCCCGTCCGTCTCACCAGCTCGACCGCCTGGTCGAAAGATGCATAGGAGACTGAGCACAAGTCTTTGTCGATGTCGTCGTTCACTGACGTTCCTTTGGGGTAGGAAAGGTGGTGAATGAGCCTCTACTTCCCCGGCTCCTTTTTGGGGACCACCCCGAGTGGCGAAACCCGAAGGCCCTCCATCGGGGGTGCCTGAAATGGTCCCGCCATCCTGCCTAGCAGCACTTCCTTAGCAAGCTTGTCCCGTACCACCCCTGGGAATTCCGCCACCGATTTAAGGTTGCGCAAGTCCCGGGTACCGCCCCTGTCCCGAAAGGGGATGAAGAACCCCCGCCCAAACCCAGCCCGGAGTAACTCGGCATCCGCCCTGTTACCGTAGCGGCTTAGCCAAGGTTCCATCGTGCCTAATTTCACCGGGGTTAGACCCCGGGGCAGGGGAAGCCCCCCCACCACCCCCGCTTGTGGAAGTGGCCGAGGCTCCCCCCGACTTACCCTTCTTGAAACAGCGCTGCAGTCCATGGGCCCCTCCACAACCCGAGCACTCATTCTTGAAGCGACATGATGCACCCCACTTGCATTGGCCTTCGTTGAAAAGCCAGCATAAGCCCTTTTGTGAAGATGCCGACGAGGCGGACTGACCCTTTGCACCAGCCGCGTGCTGAAAGGGCTGCGCCTTCTGCGCCATCATAAGCTTCATCCAGAGCTTCCTTCTTATCCTCTTCCTTGAGGTCAATATAGTCCTCCAAAGGAAGAAGGGAGAAGATCTCACAAAATTCACCCCCCCAAATCTTGTCCTTTACCTCCTGTTTGAGATGGACACCTAGCGGACCCGCGAACGACACGTAAGCGTGGTGCCTAGCCGCATTTGGTCCCACCTCATACCCGGATTGGCCACGAGCCACTGCCGGAACTGTTCATCGTACCGCCACCAGGCCAGCCCCCCATAGTTGCGGTACGCTTCCCAAATCCCATCCAAATAGCAGAACAGGGAGGAGCAGGATCCTGGCGATTTCTCGCCAATCACGCTGGCCAAGACACAGAACGCCCTCAACCAGTTCCCGAAAGACTTCGGGATCTTGTGATAACGCTTCCGCTTTTCCTCCTCCTCTTTCTTTTCGTCCTTCTTATCCTCTTCCTTGAGGTCAATATAGTCCTCCAAAGGAAGAAGGGAGAAGATCTCACAAAATTCACCCCCCCCAAATCTTGTCCTTGACCTCCTGTTTGAGATGGACCCCCAGGGGACCCGTTAACGACACGTAAGCGTGGTGCCTAGCCGCATCCTGCACCCCTGCTGTCAGTTCGGCCCGCTTGGACCCCGTGTCCGCACTGCGCTGGTCAACACCCCGGAGTCTCCGCCGACGCCCGACGCCGCAGCGACCCCGTCGCTCGCCCCCGCGACAGCTGCCCCTTGCGCCCAAACTTGACCCACACTATCCCCCTTGGCACCCCCCGCTCCCAATGAGTGGAGTAGTGACTGCAGTGCGTGTACTAAAGCGTTGGGATGCATAGATCCGCCAGACTCACCGACCAAGCCCCTCGATCCAGTGGCACCCGGGGCTGCTACGCCAGCCGCTGGTCGTCCTGGATGCACGACTTCCACCCGATTCCCGCCAACAGGGGAGCCTGCCCGGTGCCTCGAGAACACTGATGAGGAGCAGCTCCGAGACCTGAAATGAGGAGAAGAAGTCCTGGGCAGGGTGAACTGTTCCCGTGCCGCCCGCCTGCCCGTCCCGCCCCAGGCAGCGCCTGCCAGTCGCCAAGGCCTCCCGCCGTGACCTGCCTTGCTGTGGTGCACCTAAGGCCTGGTCCTTCCTGCCCCTGGGACTACGACTCCTAGATCCCCTCCTGGACGTCCGCCCCTGTGAACCATTCCTGGGGGTCCCGACCCCCCCGCGCCTGGCTACCTGATGTGGACCTGCATCGTGACCCCCCACACTCGCCACCACTCCCGACTGACATGGGGCTAACACTGCTGGACCCCGAACGAGACCTAACACTCAAACTACGCCCCCTGCCCCCACCCTTATGATCACGGGACCGTGATCCCCCCCCAGACAGGGCCCCAGGGCCGCCAGGGTCCCCACTATGACCCCCTGTCCCCTGGATGGAATCCTCTTGCCCCCCAAGTACAGGTCCCCTCGCCGCTCTGCCGACCTTCTCATCTCCTGACTTACCCCTGGCAGCTCTAACCAGCTCCCCACCCACTCCTGGCGATGCTAAGGACCCCCCAGACGACCCTTGGATACCTGACAGGGCTCCCCTGTCAGCTGAAGTGGCACTAGTCCCCTCTCCAGCCCCCCTGAAGCTACCAGGGCCTCCCCTTGACCCCCTATCCCCAACCACCCGTGACCCAAGGGAATACCTCTCACCCCCCACACCCCCAACCCGCTCTCCTGGCCCTGCTCGCCCCCACTCCCAAGTTGGTTGCCAAGGGGGGCCTGGAAGGGACCCCCTGCACTTGCCTGGTGTCCCTGTGGTCTGCTCCGTGCAGACCTGGCGACATTCCTGCTGGGCCCAGCCTCTGAAGCAGGGGGCGCCCTCCTGGGCCGCAGCCCCTTCTCGCCCGGCACTCCGGTAGGCCGTCCTGCCGCCTCCGCGGCCTCTGAATCCGGCGAGGCCCCGTCCAAGTCAATTACATTGATAGCTCTGTATACATAAGTAATGAATGTTATATTATATTTGTATTTGTCTCTGGGTTGTTTGATTCAACCTCCCTTTTTCTGTAGACATCAGACATTCCTTAGCTCAGGCTTGAATGAATAGAGTTACAGAGATAAAAAAAATTGTGTCTGCATTGTAATACAAAATGGAGTCACCTCTGTCTTAACACAAAATGTCTGCCAGTATAAATATACTGACAACTGTCTGCTTGTTTTTTTCCTCCCTCTCCCTCCTCACTCTGCTCTTCAGAAATATATGTATGATCCTCAGCAAAAATGGTGTCTATTTTCTAAAAAAAACTTGTGTCTTATCTGCACTCATTTCACTTTAACCCCTGTATCATAACTCAACTTTGAATTCTATGTGCCGTCTTGTTCAGAAATGCTTCAGACTTGGGAAAGGGAGGGTCTCCCAAAAGCTTGTCATTAAAAAATCCTGTTAGTCCAATAAAAAAGGTATTACAAGATTCAAATTTTATCTGTTTTTTGCAAACACACACACATATATATATTTGTGTTCGGGGCAAATAGCAGTATATGGAGTAAGGTTCCAGCATAAGTGTAGGATAGTATAAAGGGAGCAAGTCGGTTGTGGTGTGCCGAGACCGACGATACGGTAGGCCTGTAAATAAAGAGGGCAAAAAGAAAAATCAAAGATTTAATACAGTCAACAATATATACAAATTAACCAGACATTTCCTTAAATGCATTACGGTATTTAATTCCTTGAAGGATTTTGAAGGTAGGAATCTAGGACCGCAACTGGACACCATTTGTTGTGTGTAGGATAGTATGTTATCTCTACTGTTGGTGCGTGTTGACTTGTTTCGGGATGTGGTAGAGCCAATAGGTAATGATATATGTGTTTACATACGTGGGATCGTTGAAGACAATGATCTGTCTGAGTGGTGGTTATGGATTCTCTGGCCTGAGAAAGGCATAAAAGGCAGTGTCCATTCTTTGGGTGGGCTCTGGTGGAGAGCAACCATTTAGATCGCACAGATTTAGACCTAGCCACAACAAGGAAGGACGAGATTGCGCTGAACCAGAGACTGTGACCATGTGGGTGGGGGTTGGGACTTTTTCCTTTGGGAGCTGAGTCACCTATTGTTTTCCTGTGTATGCTGTGACAGACCTCTCTGTCCCTGGATTTTATATTTTATTTCCTTTAGTTCTTCTGTTTGTTCGGTAATCCTAACTTTCCCTATGGATATCGTGATCTCATTCGAAAAACCAAACCAACTACCGAACGACTGACCACCTAGTAGTTGGAATGTGCTGCCTATTGACCCCTTTAACCTTTCTAACATGTTGGGAAACCGCAAACACCTCAACATTCTGAGCGGTCGACTGGGTGGTCGTCGTTCGTATGCACGAACATGTGGTGGTGGCCATTTTAAACTGTCTAAAAGCCAGCAGTGTTTTGTCATCTAGTGTATTGTACTGTTTTCGGGCACTCGACCGCATGAACACCGCTTGGACTTCCAGACTTCCATTGATTCGACTTCCCCTTGTACGAAAGCAGCGGCGTTCGGTAGATTTAATCATCCAAACAAGAGACGCTAGGGAACCACAGACACGAACAGTTATTTTGACATGTTTTCATACTCCAGAAAGAGACCGGCTGCATGTTTAGTAGCGTATAGATACTCAGTATTATTATACAGATCGACGTGTTTATTATCAGCATATAGATACTCCGTATTATACAGAGCTACATGTTTATTATCAGCGTATAGATACTCAGAACTATTATACAGAGTGACATGTTTATTATCAGCGTATAGATACTCGGTATTATTAAACAGAGCGACATGTTTATTATCAGCGTATAGATACTCAGAAATATTATACAGAGCGAAATGTTTATTATCAGCGTATAGATACTCAGCATTATTATACAGAGTGACATGTTTATTATCAGCATTTACAAACTCAGTATTATTATACAGAGCGACATGTTTATTATCAGCGTATAGATACTCAGTATTATTATACAGAGCGACATGGTTATTATCAGCATATACTCAGGATTATTATACAGAGCAACATGTTTATTATCAGCTGTAAGAAACCACCACTTTTATAGGTAGGATTGTCACAGATCTTGCAGTAACCACAGCCTTCTAGGGTATACAAAGTCCAGGACACATTCTGCTCGGTTTTCCTTTTTA